CTTAGGGTGTGGAGATGAGGATACCATAATTTTTTCAGTCCTTAGGGGTCGTCTTCTAGCTCTGCTATGGTGAGTATATTTTCTGTAAATCAAATACACTTCTCTGGTTTATATAATTATCCTTGATTTGTATCTTGGTGGGTAAATCTGATTTTTTTTTTTTAAATAAAAAACAGACTTCATTTAAAATGAGCTACAGCTTTGTTTTGTGGGACTTGATGAAATGTAGGAATGTGTCAGCAGAATGGTGTTTTGAGGACTTAATATTCAGTTGAATTCCATACGGGCCAGTTTAAGTTAAAGGTCTGTCCACCATGACATGATTGTACATGTTTCATAAATATTTTTATTGAGTGGTAACTGTTCTGTCAGGGTGCTTTCTCGCAAAACATTTTGGAGAGTATGCAGGAACGGATGCTTCCTCTGGATAGAGTAGTAGGATGCTGATTTTTCTCATGATGTATATGCTTATGCTTTCTTAAATATTATATTCTTTCAAAAATACTTTTTTGCATTTAGAAAAAGAGAAGGGATTAACCTAGAATCAGTGGTACTCAACCTGGAATTTTAATTAATATCATCAGCTGAAATTTTAAAATATAAATATGCCTGGACTCCCACTCCAAACCTGTTGAGCCAAAACCTCTTCATACATAGAGGCGCCCAGCTGATTCTGGCACATGGTAAAGGTCATGAATCTCTGGGACCTTGGTCGGTGGTTCTCAAAAGTCTGGTTGGTCCCTGGATCAGCAGCATCAACATTAGCATCACCTGGGAACTTGTAGGAACTCCAGGTTCTCAGCCCCACCCTAGACCTACTGAATTAGAAACTCTAGGGTGGGGTCCAGAAGTCCATGTTTTGACAAGCCCTCCAGGTGATTGTGATGCCCACTGAAGTGTGAGGATTACTGCCTAAAGGTCATCTCTAAGGTCCCATAGCTCTAAAATCCCACAGATGCTTGTCCTGACTGCCAAAAGCTTCCAGGACATCACTACCCATCATTCAACGTTTCAGCCATCTCTATTTGGCTCTATTGGTTTAAACTTTCTATTTTAATATTCTCATTGAATTAACGCGTCTCCTATTTTAAGCCTCCTTAAATGCCTTCTGGAAGAGACAGGGTGTTAATCATAAATGTTGAATGGAACGTAAATATGTGCTTCTACTATTTGTCAGTTTCTGAAGGTTAGCAACTCTGGAATTATTAATCTTGTTTATTATTAAGAAGCTAAATGACGGCTGTCTCCAGAGTTGTTTTTGGTGTTGACATGATGCTTGAGACAGATGGGTCAAGTTTAGCTGGGGTAGTTGGAGAGCTGGCCACCATGCTCTCTTGTTATCCTTGTTAATATCAATCTCTGAAATAACTCTGGCAGAACAGCCCCTTTAAGTCCAGCTCTGGTCAAGCAGGGTGGGAAATTAACACTCTCTGCTCACTGAAAGTTCTTTTTTGGCTCTCAAATGGTTTCCAGAGCTATCAAGATAATACCGTTTGCAGGCACTTTTCATGACTGAAAAGAGCAACTTGGAGAGGAAAAGGAGTACTCTGCGGCCCCTGGGAGAAATGCTTTGCAGCTGGGCATTGACATAAATGCTAACCGAATGAATGCCCTTTCAGTTGTGTAACTCACCGTTGGGGCTCACAGTGGAAGAGCCACTCCACAGAAATAAAGAGTACCTCATGCAGGCATTGGCACTTGTAAACCAGCTCTTGTGAGTTGCAAACAGCAACATGTAGGACATTGTACTGCAAATCTCAAGTAAATCTTGCCGTGGTGAAGGTTGGTGGGCCGCCTGCTACTCATTAGAGATCCTGTCTGGCTCTTTTCCTGCAGCATGAGCAGTAGATTGCTGACACCTGTTTTCCCATCCAGCCTAGGGAGATGAAGTGTACATTAGGAATGTCTGAAAGTGTTTCCTTGTGTCTGGGTCTGTGGAGATCGGTGCTCCTTGGGGGGAAACGGGTCTAGTGCTAAGAGGGGAGATGAAAAAAATCGGCAGTGAGAAACTGCAATATAAACGGAACTGAGAGTCTCATCATCAATTAGGGGCTTCTGATTGTGCTCTTCGTTCATTTTCCACGTGGCACTGAAAAACTTGGTCATGCGTTGAGTGAAGTAGAAAGATGATGTGTCTTGTACATGGGATGACCTCAATTGTTTCTTTTTTTAAAAAATATTTTATTTTTGTTGTTGAAAATATGCACAGCAGAACATACACCAGTTCAACAATTTCTACATGTGCAATTCAGTAACATTGATTACATTCTTCAAGTTGTGCACCCATTCTTACCCTCCTTTTCTAAATTGTTCCTCCACCTTTAACAGAAACTCACTGCCCCCTAAACTTCCTATTTAATGTTTCGAGTTGCTGTTGTCAATTTGATCCCATATAGATAGCTCTTTAAAAGAGACACTATTTAGGGCACTATTGTTTCTTGAATAACATGAGTGCATAGCTGAGACTGTGAGCACAATAGAAATGGGATGGAAATAGTCAACTCTTTCAACCAAATTTATCAACATTTGTTATTTTTAAATATATTTGGCCTTAAATATGTAAAATTCAAGTGTGTTGGTGCTGTGATCAATTTCTTTGCAAGCTTTGTCCATGTGTCTGCTCTTCCCATGTTTACCTGAAATAAAGTATCTCATAAAATCTGTGGCAGACAGTGGAACAAAGAGTCTAGTGTGTTGTCAGGCACAGATATTGAGTACCTGCTGTATGCAATGCATTATGCTGAGTACCAGGAGATAACAAGAAGTACAAGACAGCCCTCCACACACACTTTTACAAGTGCTAGCAGTCTATAGTCTTATCTGGGGAGAAAAGATAAACACTTCAGGGCAGGGTAATGCCGCAGAATCTTCTGATAAGCAAACAGGCGACACATAGAGTACATTTTCAGTGGGTTTGGAGAAGTGAAAGAGAATTGTGAGTTGAATGGGTCAAGGAGGATGTGGAACTATTTTAGGTACTAAAGGATGGGGTGAATTCATTGAAATGTGGGAAATGTGGACGAGTGTGATGCTCTTTCCCTGCCATTAATAGGCTGTGGAATTAAAGGGTATTTGTTGTTGTTTTTCATAGTTACATTTTCCCCTACTCATTTGTGGAGCTTGGCCAGCTCTCTTGTGAACATTGGCTTCCATTTGTGAACTGTGGGTGAAAACGGTTAGGGTTGGGTCATGGCCTTGGACCAGAGTAAAATTAACTGGCTTATAATGTGATTGAACTAGTGACCTTGGCCTCATAACCACTATGTTTTAACCAGTTGAGTCAATCAGACATTGCAGAAAGGGTAATCAAGGTATCTTTCAGAAAGAGCAGTAAACATAGGACTGAAATCAAAGCCAGTTTCTTCCTGCATGTAATATGAAGGCATTTATCTCTTGATCCTTGAGTTTGTCATTTATCTCTTAATCCTTGAATCTATATACTTGTTTCTGCACCTAGTGAAAACAAGGTGGCAAAAAAAAAGGATAACATGACTTCCTAGTATTTTTGACATAATGAAATGTGTGTCATTTTCTTGCACAGACTCAGTGTTTTTGCAGAGGGTGCCATAAGCAACAGTATTGTTTTCAATTTTAGGTGTATAGTGTCCTATAAATTTATTAATGGCATCTTTCTCTTCTTTAAAGTCCGAACAGCCCAGTCCTGCCAGTTCCAGTTCCAGCTCCAGCTCTAGCTTCACACCGTCCCAGACCAGGCAACAAGGTATCAACATCTCCCAGGCAAACTATGAGGCACTATTCTCAGAAAGCATCTTAATGAGTTGATTTATGACCTATCTTCTATGGGTTTTATTATCTGAGCGATAACTTGGCCTTTATGCAGTTGTATTTATTTCCCCTAGGAATGCACTTGAGAATTGTTCTGATGTATGAGGCCAGGCTCTAGAAATTCCCCCTTTTCCAGTCCCTGCCATCAGATTCCCATTTTACAAAAGGATTATAGGCACAGCCCATTCCAGGGAGTTCCCAAGGGAAATGCAATAGCAAAAGCTGGTCTTGTGAGACTTTGACATAGGGAAACAGATTTTCACTTTCCCATGTGGACACATTCATTTCATTTCCTCTATTTTTCTACAGTTTAATAGGCCTTCTTCTTTAAAAAGTGTTAATTTACTGTTTTTTAAATATAATTTTCCTCTACTCATAAACAAATGTTACATGAACTTGGAATGAAGAAATTTAAACTAGAACATTGAGTAGTTATAGTTTCCACTTTTTTTGTGTGGAAAATCTTCAAGTGTCGGCTTTTCTTTCTCTCTTTTTTTTTTTTTAACATGAAAGGCGACTTCATATCAAAGAATAGCTAGTTTTTAAGCATCATATTGAACGTCACATTTTTCATTGACCACACTGAATTCCTGATGGACTTACTCGTTTTGAAAGGGTTGTTGTGTGTGTTTTTGGCTAAAAGTTAAGCTTCCAGGAAAAAACGGTGTGAAGAAGACAGTGATCACTGTGACTATTCAGAGTTCTTGTTCCTCTGACTTCCAAAGACATAAGCCCACTACAGAAGCAGAGAAATTTGAGTTTTGCAGAATGTGAGTTTTGGGGGAGTCAATAGTTATTTTAGAACTGAGTTCGTGATAACTCAGATATTCCTATTTTAGATTAGACCATGGAAATTGCCTCATCTAGAATCAAGTGCTCTCTTGCTTTTTTGATTGCCTTTACAATCTCTTCTTTTAACATTCAAAATGTCTATCTTGGTTTCCCCACATTTATAGCAGTTAAGTGAAGTAAGGCATACTACTGAGATTTTTCTGTCCTTTTAATTCTATTCCCCACCCCCACCCCCCACCTCACCCACACAACCCTACAATAAAATTAGTTATGGCTTGATTTTCTTCTTCCACCAATATTGGATACTCTCTTGAATTTTCTGGACACCTGATTTATTACATGGTCTTATCTATATAAATACATGCTGGTATTTTGCCAGGAATTTCTTAAAAAAGTAAAATGGAAATTGGCTGTATAAAATTGTTTCAATGAGACCTTGTGTCCAAGATCAATATGAAGATCAGAGATGGGACATTACACCATGGAATTGAAATACCTTATAATCTGAACTTGACTGAAATGCGTGCTTGACCTGAAATCGACCTTGAAATAAAAGGAACCGCTAAACCTTAATAGATCAAAAACTACCACACAAAGGTTGCTTTGCCAAGAGCAAGTTACAACCACAGTGATTTATAGTCTCAACTTTTCAATACATGGATTAACCTAACAAAACATTCAATTTACTAATAGGTTTTTCTGTTTTTTTATGTGTGTTATTTTGGTTAGGGAAGAAAAATATATAGAAAAGAAATTCCTAGAAAATAGAGATTCTTTAATAAACATTTTGGAGCATCTGTTATAAAAGCAACGTTTTGGTGGAAGTTGCGTTCTAGAAACTTTACCATTTGTTTTATAAAATGCATGAATATGTACGATCATGATTATTTTTAACAAATATTCAGTGGAGTGGTTGCTGGTAAGCATTTCCCTGTGTCTGATGTATTGTGCTTGCCTGTGGTCACTGTCTTTTCTCAGGTCCTTTAAGGTCTATAATGAAAGATCTGCATTCTGATGACAATGAGGAGGAGTCAGATGAGGCAGAGGATAATGACAATGACTCTGAAATGGAGAGACCTGTAAATAGAGGGGGCAGTCGAAGTCGCAGGTGAGTGTTTTAGAAGGAAAGAAGGTTCCCTGCGATGGAGTCGTACTTTTTATCTAGATCTACGCTACTATAATCACAGCAAAGGTGTAAAACACCAAAAGCAATGGCACTTATCTGGCCGCATTCATTTGAAGCCTGGACGCCTTGTCATGCTTACACTCATCTCTGCAGGGAACTATTTATTTCTTTTCTCAGAAAGGACAGGTTTTATAGGAGAAAGTCATATTAGAAGCCCTTATTCTTGTAAGTATATGCCAGGTGGCAGGACTGCTGAAATTAAGGTCTGTTTTCATTTGAAGAGTTTGTGTAGGTCCATTGCTGGAGGTAGTCTGAGAATTTGAAGAAATGTTTGCTGTTTGTAGTTTGAAATACATAATTGGCTTCAGTGAGTTATGTGTGATCTAATTAAAACTAGGGTCACCTGTGTGTGTCTTCCAGAAAAGAAATTCCTTTTAAGTATGCTGACAATTAGATTCCTTAAGTAGCTTTAATGCTGTGAGGCATAATTCCACATTATAAAATGGTAATTCATGTCACTTATAATTAATAATCAACTTGAAATTGCCTTGAGGATTTTATTTCTTTATCATAAGGAAAACAAATAGGCATGCTTATTTTATTACGTTTTGAGTGGAAAAAATGATTCTACTTGAACTCAAAACCAATTACGTCTATAGTATATTGCATTAAATCTTTTCCCATTATCCATTACTGTGTAGAGGGCCCTAAAGTTCTTAAAAAGAATGCTATCTTTACCCAAACTGGATAGACTATGTTTTGTAATTGGTAATTCCTTAAGTGTCCTTTGAGAAGAGCCTCTTCAGGGTTTGCCTGTCAGATCTCTCAATGACCGTTCCTTATGGCCACACTCAACACTTCTTTCTCCCAAAATCACCCCTCTGTATTCCTTTTAAATAGGAGACAGTAAGGAAACGTATAGCCTTGGCCTTATAACATCTCCTCTAGAAGTCTTTAATCTGACAGGAAGGAAACTGGTAGGGCAAAAAGTCCTAAAAGTAGACTAAACCTTGGAGTTTGGGAGCATATTTATACCAGCTAAATCCTCTCCACCGGCTGCTCTCAGATTTAGCTGATGAAAAAATGTATGACCTATTTAGACAACTTCCCAAGTTGCAATGATTTCGAAGATCTGGGTGTTTTGTGATTACCTGTGGCCCACCCACTTCCTGCCCCATTCGTGGAGTCAAGTGTGGGTCAGATGAGACACGTTGTGAGCTGTCTGATGGGATTCAGTATTGTTGGAGATGTTCTTCTGCTCACCTGACATGTGCTGTTAGTACAGCAGTGCCAGTGTAACATTTGATCTTTGATGCACTTGTGAAGTCTCAACTGTTTAATCAGTTTAAATACTCAGCCTTCCACTTCAGTCAAGAAGCATTTTAAAGCAGCGCTTCAGCTGAACACTTCATTAATGTAATTTAGTTAAGAAAAACAAGTTCCATCAGTTTTTGCTAAAAGGGTGTCCCAGTGTATCCTTTGCATTTTGTGTCTTGTATCTTGTCTATCTGAATATATTATAGAGCTAGAATGTGATTGCCTATTCAGAGTGAAAGAAAAACTATCCTGATTTCTAAAGCATTTTCTGTTTCTGAGAAGAATATTTTATTAGATTACTGTATAACCAGAGAGAGGGGGACAAACAGTGAAGACACTGCAGAAGGAGGGCAGACATGCAGCAGAGCAGAATAAAGAAATATTTCTTACTCTGGCTAAAAGGAAGCTCTGTTTTGATCTGAAAAGAAAAATAGGGGAGGAGGTGGTATATTTATTGTCTTTAGTTATTGAAAGATATCATTGTATTTTTTTACAGCAGTTTTCGCAAACACTGTTTCTTCGGGTTCCTGTAGCATATTCCCAATGAATGCTGTGTGAACTGTATACATGTTGTGAACTAGAGACAGCCTTGAATCACTGCACAGTAGAAATGATTGGTAATGGTTCTAACATGCTGGGGTTCACACATTCGATTCCTCAGATATCACCCTGAACTGTCAGCAGTGTAGGGCTGGTGTCCACATTCTTCTTAGCTGCTGCTTCTACTTCCGCAGCCTGTGTATTAGTCATATTTGTAATTTTTTCATCTGTAGCAAAGTGGCAAGGGAAAGGAGAACGAAAGGTAGTAACCTGCAAACTGTCTCATTTTGTTGACCTGCAAGCTTGGGTGGCATGTTTGATGATAGTAGGTGGATGGAGCCAGAACAGGGAAATAAATGAACAAATGATACCAGTAAAGTTTAGTGGCTGAGCACTAGCTTTGGGTTCGGATTGCTTGGCTTTGTATACTAGATCCACCACTTCTACCCCTGTGACCCCAGGCAAAGACTTGGTCTCTCTAAGCCTTGGTTTCTTCATCTGCAAAATAGGGAATTATTATACAAGAAATAGTAGGTGAAGCACGTAACACAGTTCCAGACACAAAACAAACTCCGATACATGTTAGCTGTTGTTTAAAATGAGCTTCTCGATGGTTAGGGTTTCGGTTCCTTGCTCCCTGTGCCCATTACCATGGATGTTTCAACAATCATCTGTTTTTATTGATGCATATGACTTCTCTCTGTCTGTCTTTTCAGAGTTAGCTTAAGTGATGGCAGTGATAGTGAAAGCAGTTCTGCTTCTTCACCTCTACATCATGAACCTCCACCGCCCTTATTAAAAACCAACAACAACCAGGTAAATTGCTGTGTTTGCACTTTCCAAGACTTGGAAAAACTAGATGTAATCGTATTTACAAAGCACATGAAACTTTTTACCTCTTCATTATAAACAAAGTCCCTCTCAATGCCTAATAAATGGGGATCTGTAACTTTGGAATAAACACACAGTTAGGGTAAAAGAATATCTGTTGTTATAAGAAGATGACTATGTTCCATTGGATGAGTTAATTAAGTAGATGCAGGAAGGGATGGTGACAAAAAAGTGTTGCCCGTTTACTCCTGATTTCCATATATTTTTCCCCTCAGCAGTAAGTAGATAACATAATAAATTAGAAAGAATATGGCCTTTGGGACTAGTAAAAAGTCTGGTTCTTTGCTTTACTACTCATTATTTACTGGTGGGAAATTAACTTTTAACTTCTGATCCTCAGTTTCCTCATCTGTAAATGGGAATATTAACATCTACCTTGCAGGTTCCAGGAAAGATGAAAAATACTATATATAAAGGTCATGAGATAGTGCCAGTACCTTGTTGGTGCTCAGTTGATGGTGGATATTTATTATGATAAGTGTGCTTACACACTGCTTTAGTGTGCTCATTCAGAAAGAGAGGACCATCACTTGGAATTGTAAGGGATAGTTTATAAAGTGCAGAGAAGATGATGATGATTATCATGGCGCTATAGGCTATAAATCAAGTGAAAGGAAAGCTTATTAATTTGACAGTCGACTCAGAATATAGTTATTTGAACAAGTTCTAGGCAGTACTTTGAAAGCTGTAATGAAGAGCTTTTGTTAAACCAATGAATAAGATGTGTATTTAAAATACTAAAATAGATTATTTTCAAGTATTGTGAATATTGTAGAAGCCTTATTATGCATTGAATTGATAATCTCATTACTGTTAAGTTGTTCTTATCTCTTTATTTAGACAGATTCCCTGTGACCTCTATAATAACTATTTAATTCAGGTTACTTTATATTAACTTGAAAATAAAAGAACTATATTTTTTCTGAAATTATTCTGTTTCACGGGTGTCCTACAATTTTAAGTGGTCTTAACTTTGAATTTGGGATCTTTGTTTTACTTGGAGAATGTTGCTTTATAAATGAAGGCATTTTCTTGTTGAATTTTGTGTAAAGCAAAAGCAAAGATCTCTTGCAATTTAAAACTCATTTATAAAGTTCATCTACAACTTAAATCCTTCACTGTTAAGCAGGAGTACTGTCTGTGCTCTTTACCTCACCCGTTCATCTGCAGTTTATTTGTATTCTGCCTATGAATGACAGCCCAGGCTCATCATCTGTTGCAGGTTGGGTGTTCATAAAGTTAGTTGATTCCTAATTCATTACCCCGGCCCCCTGTAGCACATGCCTCTTACCATCTCTAGTGCCAGCCATGCCCATTACTCAGCTACCTTTCACCACTGGCATGATTGCCTACCACAAGTCAAGCATTTCAGGAGAAACTAAAAAGAGGAAGGACATAAGAATCATAGCCAATCAGTTGAGAAGAACATTGGACTGGCTAACTAGGTAATTGGAGTTCTTTTATTAATTTGTACTTAAATATGAGCTGGCAAAAGAATAGAATTTGGACCCTGAATATTTTTTTATATGCAATTTGAGCCTATTTAGGCCCAGTTTCTGCTTTCAGTTGGTGGTATATTAGAATTAAGATGATCAGTGGGTAATACGTTTTGCCTGTTGCCGTCGAGTCACTTCCAACTCATGGCAACCCTGCATGTGTCAGAGTAGAACTTTGCTCCATAAGGTTTTCAGTGGCTGATTTTTCAGAAGTAGATCACCACACCTTTCTTCTGAGGTGCCTCTTGGTGGACTCGAACCTCCAACCTTTCAGTTAGCTGCCAAGCTCATTAACTGTTTTCACTACCCAGGGACTTGGATATGATTTAGTGCCCCTCATTCATCTCCTTCAGTGTTAAGACTGTGTTTGCTGAGTAAATGCCGCTCCAACAATCCTCCATCTTGCCGTTCTAATGTAGTAGCTGCCCCTGAACCCTCTCTGGATAGGCAGTCTCAAGCTGGCCCTGGCTTTAGGGAAAGATTTGGATTGTTTGTCAGACATGTTTTACCTGTCTAGCCAAAAACAAAAACAAATGATATCATCTATCTGGAGAGGGTAAAAATTATCCGATTAAATAGCATGCCACTGGTTCCTTGGCATGTGTTTATTTGACAGATGTAGCTTCACACATGTGAATCATCAGTCCTTCAGAAATACTCAGTTATATGTCACTTTCTCCATGCACCTGTAAGAATAATAAGAAAGCCCATATGCTTTCACTTTTAGCTAGTCTAGGGTGGGAAATACATGTACCACAGCAGTATACATGGCATCCTTGGAGCTGGGAGAGCAAGAACAGGTTTAAAATTTATTTAGGACTGCTTGCTTTACCCACTTAGATCACTTGTGTTGGGTCAGATGTGACTCTATCCCTTTAAGTCCGTGTTCTGGGACTTTTAAAAAATGACCATTGCTATTACTGTTATTCCTTAGTTCTCCATGTTCCATCATCAGATGGACGGAGACAGTAAAGATTTATAAAATCTCCAAAAGCTACTTAAATTTCACCCTGGAATATGTTTTTAGTCCTTTATTTAAACGTGTACGTAATAATCTGAAATTTCACATCAAATAAAATAGATGAAAACATACTGTGAAGGCTTAAAACTCCGAAATGGGAAGATCTTCAGTTTCCTTGTTCCATACCCCTTGGTTGTTCTCTGTCCGCACATTGAGAATGAGTTCCCAAGTTTCTGTAAAGTGCCAGACAAAGCTGAGTTGCTGCTGCCTTTCCTCACATCTTTCAGGGACTGGGGAAGAAGGAAAGTGCTAATTGAATCAAACATTTTCTAACTACTGAAAAAAAAGTGAACAGAGGAGCCGCATGTCAACAAAGCAAGTAATTAACCTGAGAATTGTTAGGAGCTACTTGTAATCATTAACATGAAAGATCTATCAGTAGAGAATCCATCTGTTGAGTAATTGAGTTGTCTTTTCTCACAAAGGGATGCAGAAAAATATAATCTTGAGACTTTGATTCTCAGATTCTCAGCCCAGAGGTTATCCTAAGCACGTTTCTTCTATTTTCAGAGACTATCATATTATTAAGGGAACCCTGGTGGCACTGTGGTTAAGTGCTTGGCCGCTAACCGAAAGGTTGGCAGTTCAAACCCACCAGCAGCTCTGCGGGAGAAAGATGTGGCAGTCTGCTTCCATAAAGATTGTAGCCTTGGAAACCCTGCGGGGCAGTTCTACTCTGTCCTCTAGGGTCACTAGGAGTCGAAATTGACTGGACAGCAATGAGTTTTTACCATATTATAAATGGTGCATTTAGGCAGTCTGGGTCTCTTGTCTCCCTTGGTATAGCTCAATGGGGAATACCAGTTTTAATCAGAGATGGTCCTTTCACGCCAAACCTCTTTTATGTGAATTTCAAATAAAATCAAAGTACCAGGTCCTTTAAAGCCAAAAGTATAGAGGGGGGAGAACCCTGACCGAAGGAAGTGATCCATTGAACCAGAGTTAAAATATTCAGAATATCATAAATCACCTCTCAGCCTGCAAGGCATGTTGAATGAAATTAAAGTATCCAGTTAAACTGGTTTGAAATAAGCCTGTGGAAGACAAGGTGCTGTATTTTTTATATTCTGGAGTCGTTTCCCTAAAGATAAGAAATGATCATAAGTAAAACAATTGTCTTCAGCGTGGCTCAGCTCTCTCAGAATGAGGTTTTGACAAAGCTGTTTATTTTGGAGCAGGGAGAGATCAAAGAAGGAAGATTAACTGAGCCCTCTTTGGGCAGCCACTCAGTAACTTGAGGCGGATCACTGACACCCGGAGCTTTTGTTGCTGCCACTGCAGCTTCAGAAAAAAGAAACTAGGATTTCAGTGTATTTGGCCTTCTGTGCTGTAGTACTTGCAGCATGTGTGGGGTGGATTTTAAGTCCCCCAAATGCTCCATTTTCTGCTCTGAAGAGAAGATGGTAGAAGTCTCTAAACCCAGTTAGCAAAGTTCCATTGCAAATACAGAACTCTCGGTCACTTTGACACCTAGAGTGCAGTGAGCTGGGGAATGGGACCGAGGGGGCGGTGGGACATGACGGGAACAAAATCAGTTCTCTAATGCACAAGGCAGGCAGGGAGGCAGGCACTGTTTTTTCCCTTGCCTGAAATCTCAGCAGATTGTCTCTGCACTGCCCAGCCTGGAATCTGAGTTGGGGAGGAGTGCCATCTACTGACCTACTTACTCCTAGGTCTCTGAGCACCGAGTTTTCCCTAGAAGTCTCATTTCCAACAACAATAGAGAGGAGGAAATTGTGGATGTAGGGTGGTGTTCTGGAGTAGTGGTTCAGAGCTGCAGCTGCTAGCCAAAAGGTCAGCAGTTTGAATCTACCAGGTGCTCCTTGGAAACACTGGGGGGCAGTTCTGCTCCGCCCTATAGGGTCACTATGAGTTGAAATCGACTTGACAGCAATGGGTTTGTTTTTTTTGTTTTTTCGGTTTAGGGGGGTTTTGGTTTGGCTTCCTTTACTGTGAAGCATGTTAAAAACAATTGCCTTGCCTCTGCTGTGAAGTAATTTCCCTGAATTGCCAAAAGTATTGTATTTTAAGTTAATCTCGTCAAAATAGCCATTTGGTTATCTTAAGGTTAGAAAATAAGAAGAAATAAGGGCAATTTTAAAAGCACAATTCTTACCTATACATTACACTAAATTCAGTGGAAAATATACCCTTTTAGAAGTATTTGGTCTTTTCCAGAATATCATGGTCCTGTTGTCAACAAGTAAAAAGTCTATTAGTAGTATAAAATTTTATGGCTGAAGAATCTGGATGCTATCTTGTCCACCTCTCTCATTTCATTTCATTTTTTGAGGCCCCAAAACCTAAGCTTAGGTTTCTGAGCCAGTCAGTGCTCTTTTTACTACAAATTAAAAGTGGATTCATTCTTAACATCTTCTTTAGGCTGTAGAATATGGTAGACCTGCAAAACAGAACTGATTGAGTTAGGACAGAGAATGGGTAAAGAGAAGAGCAGCAGGATATGAGGCTTCTTAAGTAAGTCTGATTGGTCATGTTGTTAGGTGCCATCAAGTCAGTTCTGACTCATAGCGACCCCAGGTATAACAGAACAAAACACTGCCTGGTCCCATGCCATCCTCACAATCGTTGCTATGTTTGAGCCCATTGTTGTAGCCACTGTGTCATCTATCTCACTGAGGGTTTTCCTCCTTTTGCTGACCCTCTACTTTACGAAGCATGATGTCCTTCCCCAGGGACTGGTCCTTCCTGATAACATGTCCAGAGTACATGAGACAAACTCTCACCATCCTCACTTCCAAGGAGGGCTCTGGCTGTACTTCTTCCAAGACTTGTTCATTCTTCTGGCAGTCCATGGTATATTCAATATTCTATGCCAACACCGTAATTCAAAGGCATCAATTCTTGTTTGATTTGGCATATTCCTCCTTTATATTAGCCTCAGATTCTAATAACTACTAACTGGGTAATGAGGTTATAGTGAAAAAGATAAATTACTTTTTATACACATTTGCAAACGCTCCTCATTAATAAGGAGAAAGTACCTTTTCAACCAAGGGCCATTTAAAAAGTGTTCTTCTCATAATCTTCAATTTTAAAGATTTTGCCTAATTAATCAACTGTATTTATTAAATAATAATTCATTTATGCTTTTTATCAATTAGAAACAACTCTCCATCAACAATCTGAACAGTATGAAAACTTACTGTTCATACCCAAAGTTGTAATCAGTACAGATGAAAGCAAAGGCACTTGGTGTTTTATCATCTATAAACAAATCATTTATTAAAATACAGAAGATAGTCCTGGCTCTCTCGTGTTTGAGTTTGAGTGGAGAGCAACCAGTGTAACTGATGGCCATCTTCATTTCCAAAGCTGCATTGATTTAGAGAATATGAATGACTTTTAGAATCTGAAAGTCAGGTTCTAAAAAGGGCATTTGAATGTTTATCATCCCTAGCCTACTGAGCACTGATAGTCAAGCTGACACAGCAGAATGAATAAGAAAAAATTCTTGCCAAAGGGGACCGTAATCTCCGTATAACTCAGCTGCCGTACATATGTGTGCGAATGTTGTCACAGAAGAGAATCAGCCTGGGAAGCTTAGATCAATTTCCTTATTATCCATATTTTTAAAGTTCTGTTGCTCTGACTCAGCATTTCAGATATAAATAATTTATTTTCCAAGAAAAGGTAAAATAAGAAGAAAGAAAATAATGTAGAAGAGAGTACTATTTAGAAAGTGATGTTATTGTACAGCATTTCGTTCAGTGAGCGCCTTTGTTTATGTGGCTGGTTAGCCAAGAAGTGCTTGAAGTCAAATTTAACAGTGTTCTCTTTGATCCCTAGATTCTTGAAGTGAAAAGTCCAATAAAGCAAAGCAAATCAGATAAGCAAATAAAGAATGGTGAATGTGACAAGGTGGGTTTCCGCTCCATGACTGTGAGTGCTGCAACACTGACACATCTTCTATTTCTTTGTGTTTCCCTTGATCATTCTTGGTGGTTCTCCTTTCATTCTCTTCATCAGAAGTGTCCAAATGACGAGCACTTCATCCTAGTGCTCCGTAGTTTGTTTTTCAAGTCTTGCTTAAATTATCAGTACTTAGCTTGGCCTTATGCTAGCCTTTGCCATGATGCCTGCATCATCAAGGGATTTCAGGCACTTCGAATCGGGAGGTAAGAGAATTGTGGTGGAGGTAGGGGGTCAGGTACTCTCAGGTGAACAGGACATCTGAACCTCGTGCACCATGCTTTTCCAAAGTGTGCATCATGCATCTGAAAGGTGACTACAGGGCCTGTGTGGGCTTAGATCACCTGGTGTGAGCAGGGCCCTAAATGCTTTACGGGGTCAGCATTCACAAACCTTTCCTTTGCCTTTAGGGCAAATGAAGTTAGGGGCACCCATGCAGTTATGCTAACAAGAACTCGGGAGGCTGAGCATATGCAAAGAGAGGTGCACCCAAGGGCGGATTACGCAGTAAGCAAGGGATGCATGGCCTTACTTGTGCTTACTTTTACTAATCTGCGGTGCACAATTTCACATGGGTTTCACCACATTTTTGTACTTGGTGAAACCCACGTGAAATTGTGTGCCAAATATTAGTAAGTAAACACAAGTAAGCCCGTGCATCCCTTGTTTACTGGGTAATCCGCCCCTGGGTACCCCTCTGCCCTTCCAGAGCAGCTCTCAACAAACCAGATGCTGATTTGGATAGTGAGCTCTGCGTTTCATAAGACAGTCTTCTGTCACTGCTGGCATTGTTGTCTGGCAAATGTCAGGTGTTAGCAGGAACACTTGTTTGTTTTAAAGAATTTATTCTGATGTAAATGGTAATGCCCATTATTTCTTCCATGTTCAAACTTAAACTTTTTTTCTCTTAGTCAACAAGCTTCTGAGACTGAAGAATACAAAAAAAGAAAAGCAGCCCGTGACAGCCTGTTTAAACTCACAATTTAGCGCTGAGTCCCCTGATCTCTGTAGAGGACTTGTTGGGAGAGGGCCAGTCTGCCCACTTGAATTTTGTTGAGAGCAAATAAATACAAAAATTGCCCACTTTTTGTTGTTGTTGTTTTTAAAGCCGACTCGATAAAGTTAATGGTCAGAACAAGAGAGACTTGGTCTGCAAAGGCCTTTGGGCATTTGGGCTAGGATAGTAGAATGGGGAACATCCAGCTGCTGCTTGTATTTACTTATTTTTTGAACTGCTTCTAAAAGTGTTTGTTCTTTTGGGGGATACTGTTCTTTTTCAGGCATACCTAGATGAACTGGTAGAGCTTCACAGAAGGTTAATGACGCTGAGGGAAAGACACATTCTGCAACAGGTGAGAAATGCTTTTTAGCAAGCCCTTTCCCAGAAGCCTCAAGGCCTAGTTGGCCCTGGGGTTGTGTGATAGCACTTTGAGGCCATGTCAGCTGCACACTGTCAGAACTGGGCTTATGCCACTTGCAGAAGAATTTGGGGAGGGTGCTCATTTCCGAGGCCACCTGAAAGTCTGCTTTGGGCCTGTGTGGTGATTGCTCTCCTGCCCTCAGTGCTGAGGGCAGATGAAAAATGGGCACGAGTGGAGGTGTGATGCTAGAACGTAGTGACCCCCTCAGCTGTGGATGCTGTCATGCGGGCTGAGAGAGGGAGGGGATAGTAGGAATGCAAAAATCTTTGGGGCCAGGTTTCTGATTTCATGGGGTAACAGTGATAAGACTTTTTAGTCAAGTGTTGTAAACATTTGTGATTCAATTTAGTAAGCTTTTGCCAATACTATTCTAATGAAAATAATTTTTTTCCTCATTTCCCTTATCTGGTACACCATATATTCTGTGGGAACACTTGTCGAGTGTGGAAACATGATGTTTTGCAAAGATAAGAAGGGTGGTTTTTAGTTTTCATACAGTTACAGTACATGCCTCTGTTGCATCCACAGTGGCTATTGATAGATAATTTTTACTTAACTCCCAAAGAGAAGGCAATGTGTTCTGAATTCCAGGGTGGGTTTGTAAATTATTTCACCATTTGAATTTTTTTTTAACTGCTCTTAAATGGCTTGTAATTAGTACTTAATTTACCTCAGCTGTGTGTGCGCGCGTGCGCGCGGTGTTTTGTTTTTTGTTTTAAACATTTAATGGCTGATGGTCACATTTGTATTCTGTGCAAATTTTTGCTTAAATCTATAAATACACACTCTCAAATATACCAAGTTTTCTGATTGTTCTGATAAGTTTTCTTTAATTGTTTTATTGTGGTAAAAATATATATAACAAAACATTTGCTAGTTCAACATTTTTTACATGTACAATTCAGTGACATTGAATATTTCATAATCAATGGTTATGCAGCCATCACCCTTATCCATTTCCAAATTACTCCACCACCATCAACAAAGATTTCCCATGTCTCCCTGGTAACCACTAATAAACTTTGATCACTATACATTGGCCTATTTCATCTAAGTGAATATTTGTCCTTTTGTGACTTATGTTTTCAAGGTCCATCCATGTAGTAGCATGTACCAGGACTTCATTTCTCTTTATGGTTGAGTAATATTCCATTGTATGTATGTACAACATTTTGTTTACCCATTCATCTGTCGATGGACATTTAGCTTTTAATCCTTCTAGAGTTTTCAGCATCTCTGCGGGAAAAAGACCTGGATTTGCTCCTATAAGGGTTAGAGCCTAGAAAAGCATATGGGGCAGTTCTGTTCTGTCACATGAGGTCACTGTGTGTTGGAATCAACTCAAACAACACCTAACAACAACAAAAGAAGTTTCAGATTTGAGCTGAAGACTACAGATTTGTGATTGTTAGTTGGGCATAAGTTGCACTTCTTGCATTTCCTTTTAAGTGAGTATGGGGAGTATGGGGAGTGGGAGCAGGATTTGAGTGGTTCACCCTTAAGACATAGTCTAGTATTTTGCTAGTATTTTTCTTCATCTTTCTTCTGTAAAACTGATAATTGTTTTGCTTGCCACTCAACAATTATTCTGGAGCTAACTGACTGAATGTTGATGGAAATCTGTTTGCTAGTCTTACCATCCTTTTCCAGATGCCAACCCTGAGCCACTGTGGAACAATTGTCCAATAAAGCTATTAATGTTCAAGCTGGGCCCAAATAGTGAATAAATAGTTTTATCCCAAAGGAAGGTGAGACAGATGTTTGGGCAGGGTTGGGACACCTTCAGAAAGAAAGTCTAGGCAGTGAGTAGGGGATACTAGGCCACTGGGCAGGGTCTTATCTTGGGGTATCATTGACATTCCCAATTTAACATTGTCCTTTATTTTGACCTTTGAGAGAATTGCAAGGGATGGTGACTTACTCGAGAACTCCATCCAAGTGGATTATTTTAGTATTCTAAAGGGAGAGAGTGTTATCTATGAATTTTTAACCTGACATAAAGGCACTCCAGGGCACGCAGCATTTCACCCTAATTGCATTCCCGGGCTGGTTGAAAGCTCAGTCTTTGGCCTTTTGCCTTGTAATGCAGCTGAGGCTTGTGATTATGATTCCATGATGCATGTCCTGTCACGGTTTACTGCTTAATTAATTCCTATTCTAAAACATAGCATTGTTGAGGACTAATGTTATTCTCCACCTTGAAAGCTGCTCATCTTATAGAATGCATTCCACAAAGTCTGTGTATCCTTTACCATAAAGACCTGAACACCTGAAGCATTATTTCTGGTGTGCCCAGGGTTACATCCTAGGACTTTAGACTCTTGCTGTTAAATGTGTCCTCTCAAAAACTCTGACAATTTTGTTTGGCTCCCATAAGTGCTTAGAAGGTTTGTTTTACTCTGGGGGCATGAGGTACTGGCAGCAGCATCTAGTTTCATGAACAGAAAGCACTGGCTTAAGAGTACCTGTGTTCCTAAGCCACCTACCAAACCAAACCAAACCCATTTCCATCGAGTCGATTCCAACTCATAGTCGATTCCAATTCATAGCGACCCTGTAGGACAGAGTAGAAGCCCCATAGGGTTTCCAAGGAGTACCTGGTGGATTCAAACTGCTGACCTTTTGGTTAGCAGCTGTAGCTCTTAAACAGTACGCCACCAGGGTTTCCTAAGCCACCTAGGACTGACTAATCATTTGATTTCTCTTTAAACCGTGTGTTCCCCATTTATTTGCAAAGGGAGGCTGAGCACTTCTAAGCTCCCCAGCAATTCGGCTCTGAGCCTGGATTTGCATCCAGAGCTCTGAAGGAAACAGGGCTTCCCTAGAAGACAGCTTAGCGATTTAGATACCGTATCTTCAGGGACAAGGGGAATGAGGCTTTAACTGAGCGACGTATCAGAGTATTCCTTTAAACAATACATGGAACCCTTTCTGAGAAGTGTTTTTCTGAAAATGATTCTCTCCATCCTGGGAAATTGTCTGTCATGTTTTAGCGCTCCTTGTAGATTGGAGCCTGATGGCTTAACCTAGAGTTGTTGTCAGGTGCTGTTGAGTTGGTTCTGACTCATAGCGAACCTATAGGACAAAGTAGAACTGCCCCATAGGGTTTCCTAGGCTGAAATGTTTACAGGAGCAGATTGCCAGGTCTTTTCTCCCATGGAGCAGCTGGTGGGTTCAAACACTAACCTTTTGGTTAGCAGCTGAGTTCTTAACCATTGCGGCACCAGGGTTCCTTTAATCCAGTGTAGGGCACACGATATCATGTCCTAGATTGTGCTTCCCAGTCCATAGTCAACACCATCCTCTAGGAAGACGTAAGTTATCCCAGACATGCCTGACTCCAGTCTGAGCAGATGCAGTCAAAGCAAAGCTTTTTCCTTACTTCCCTCTCACTGAAGAGTTTGTTTCAGATAGAAAGAACCTGAAATGTTTAATATGAGACTTAAAATAATGCCCAGTACTTGTCTGTCAGTTTGTCACACTGTGGTGTCTTGTGTGTTGCTGTGATGCTGGATACTATGCCACCAGTGTTTCAAATACCAAAAGGGTCACCCATAGTGGACAGATTTCAGTGGAGCTTCCAGACTAAGACGGGCTAGGAAGAAGAGCCTGGCAGTCTACTTCTGAAAATCAGCCAATGAAAACCTTATGGATCACAACCGAATATTGTCTGATACAGTGCTGGAAGATGAGCCTCCTAGGTTAGAAGCAGTACACAATAGCTGCAACAGTGGACTCAAACGTACCAACAATCATGAAGATAGTGCAGGACCAGGCAGCGTTTCCTTCTGTTAGACATAAGGTCACCAATAGCAACAAAAAATAATACATCATCTTTTTATAATTAAAAGCAGGGTTGGAGGAGGCAACTACGGATTTAACAAGTAGATCCTACTCTGTTTTTTTAAAAAAAAAAGTAACAATAGCCTGTATGGCATCCCTAAAAAGGCTGACGTGGCAGGAAATAATCTATCACAAATGTTTTCGCAACAACCATCATCTGAAAAATGAGTTAAGCAGTTGACACACTCTTCGTTTTTGACTACTTGCACCATCTGTCCTTGCCTGTTTTTTCTTATACGTGGTCACAGTATTTTTTATTATCACCTTTGTTATTTTGGAGAAACATTTATTATTGTAGTGTTAGGCAGGGTCATGACACCCAGGTGGAGTCCCACTGCGTGACCAAACGGTATTCGTATAGAAAGGCAGAGTGGAATCATTTGGAAACTAGTGGGGTATTTTTAGGCTTCATGGCCCGTGTCCTTGGAATAAGCCATTTTAATGTTAGGTTTCTGATGTTCTAACTATGCGGATTCCTGGAAAGGAACTGACACTTATTTTTCTTTATGAAGTCTTTTTTACTTAATCGAGGACATGAGTGCATACTCTAATAATTCAAATTATTAATGCTGTTGCCTTTGGCACACAGTCCTGAACTCCCCCAGCTGCAGTCACTACTACTGCTTTGAGACTGTCACTGCATTTACCTTGATGTATTCTTATAGGCTCCCATAAAAATGTGGGCTTATTTAAGTTAGATTTATCGAACCCCTGTATATCTGTATGTATCTGCAGGCAGATGGGGTGGTGGTTGTGGAAGAAATAGGAGGATGGTAATTGAAGCACTGGAAGCCTAGAAGATACTGTAATGCATATGAAGTGACTAGGACAAATTTCCTAGTGGGCAAATGGTTTATTTGCTTTAAAATTAAGTGGCTTTTTCTGGAAAGAATTTTCATTGCCCAGTTTTCTGTTTATTGTTCAGTAATTAGTGGGCAGTTATACTGAGGCACAGAAAACCTTTTTTTTTTTTTTAGAAGGATGGTTTCAAGGCTAGCTCGTTATTTTAAGAGGAAAGTATAGGGCTAGAATCCCTGGGTAGTGTAAACGGTTAACATGCTCAGCTGCTAACTGAAAGATTGGAGGTTCAAGTCCACCCAGAGGCTCCTCGGAAGAAAAGCCTGGAGATATACTTCCAAAAAATCAGCCATCAAAAACCCTGCGGGGCACGGTTCTTCTCTGACACACGCGGATTCACTGTGAGTGGGAATCAACTTGACGGTGACTGGTTTTACTTCTTTCACCCCTACATTGTGGTTTTAGCCTGTTATGTCAACTACTTTCCTTCATTTACTCTTTCCCTTTACATCCTTCCCTCCCGCTGTAGACTTTTATTATAATTATTAAAAAAGAAAATTTAAAGTAGGCCTTTCCTGAGTTTTGGCCTCTGGCGTTTTCCCTGCTTCATTTGTTTTAGTGCTAATGAAATGGCTTAAGTCAAGCGGGGAGGGGAGGAGGAAAACACACAGTCTGATAATTCATATGCTGGGTAGTTACTTCCCAGGTAATTAAGGATAAGCTTATATTTTTATGGGAATCATAAGCATGTTGTTCTGATCAGTGTAGCAATTTATAGTTTATAAAGAAGTTCTGCTTCATTTGCCACATCTTATTTGATCCCCTGCACAACCCTGTAAGGTAGATAGAGCAGGTGAGATTATCTCCATTTTACAGATGAGAAAACCAAGACTCGGAGATTCTAAAGTTCTGTCCAGTGCCATTCAGATGGTTAGCAGGTTCAGAACTCGATATGCCAAATCCAGGACTCTTGATTCTGAATGCCTTGTCACTAACCTCCTGGCCGTCTGGTTGTGGGGAGGAGTCAGACTCTGGTCTACTTGTCGTTTGCCTTCATTGTATAGATTTGACATTTATAATATCTCTGAAGAGGCTGTTTCTTTCTCTCCTGAAATTTACACATTTGCACTAGATCCATAGTATTCCTACACAAGCTAGCAAAAAAGATAATTTACTTTGTGAAGTACTCTTAATTCAATCCATAGTAAGTATATAAACCAAAAAAACCAAACCCACTGCCGTTGAGTCGATTTCGACTCATAGCGACCCTATAGGTCAGAGTAGAACTACCCCATAGAGTTTCCAAGGAGCTCCTGGTAGATTCAAACTGCCGACCTTTTGGTTAGTAGCTGTAGCTCTTAACCACTACACCACCAGGGTTTCCCAGTAAGTATATATCATGGATTGAATTGTGTCCCCCCAAAAATGTGTGTAGCACCTTGGCTAGGTCATGATTCCCAGTATTGTGTGATTGTGTTATCCGATGTGATTTCCTTATGTGTTGTAAACTCTACCACTATGATGAGATTATATGTGATCTCCTCATGTATTGTAAATTCTATCACTGTACTGATGAGGTTGACAAGATTAGTGTCTTAATGCAATCTCTTTTGAGATATAAAAGAGAGAAGCGAACAGAGATATATGGGAACCTCATATCACCAAGAAAGCAGTGCTGGGAGCAGAGGCTGTCCTTTGGACCTGAGGTTCCTGCGCAGAGAATCTCCCAGACCAGAGGAAGACTGATGACATGGACCTTCCTGCAGAGCCAACAGAGAAAGCGTTCTCCTGGAGCTGACGCCCTGAATTTGGACTTGTAGCCTACTGGACTGTGAAGAAATAAACTTCTCTCTGTTAAAGCCATCCACTTGTGGTATTTCTGTTGGAGCAGCACTAGATGACTGAGACAGTATATAATAAGCATGTAATTGACTTGAAAGGTTTGAGTGTGTGGACATAGTTGCACGCATCTCTTTGTATATAGACGTGGGTGGGTGGGACTTGCCGAAAGCTCTGTAATTACTAAATAATAAAACGAATGACCATTTTAAAAGTCTTTCAGTGTTAATAATAAGATTTTATTGAGAAATATTACATGTATGTAGTACTTTAACTATACTTGGGCACACCTTTCTAATAGTATGTTGATGCATGCGGTAGAATCCTGCATGGATCCAATGGTTTAATCAAGTAAGGCTCCTCCCTCCCATCCCCCAGGTCATACAACAATAAGCTTAGAGATAAGTAATCCGTGGCCAATGTGGTGGCTTAAAGATGCTACTGATGTCACAGTATCCTTTTCTTCAGGCTCTACCATCTTTCCTATGTTGCATTCATCCTCATGATGGGAAGATAGCTGCTGCACTTCCAGGCATTGCATCTTTATTCCAGACAGGAAGGAGGGTAGAGGGCAAAATATACATTCCCATTGTTTATACTCATTTCAAGCATTTTTCTGAAAGCCCAGTGACTTCTGACAAATTAATTTTAAATAGCAGTGGCTGCCAAGTAATGCAAATAGGTCTAGGGAAGCAAATGTTTTAGCTGGGCTTATTACTATTCCCAGAAAAGCTGGCTTCTGTTAGTAAAGAAGAAGGGGTAGATGGATATTTGGTAGGTAATTTGCAGTGTCTATCATGGTTCCACAATGAGAGTAACTTGTTTTATTATTAAAACCATAGTTATATCTGTATAAAATTGTTAACAGAGATTGAATAAGGCAATAACAACTCAATCTGGAGTTGTGCAGTTAATTGGATTGAGGCTTAGTATGTCTTTTATGCTTCTGTGAATGTCAAGTAAAATGGCAGGATGGGGAGCACATTTTCTATTAAGAGCCACTGACCCGTAGGGAAGAGTTCACAAATTTACTGTTTTTTAAAGGAAACTAGCTAACTTTCAATAAGAAGAGAAGGTTAAAAGTTTCAGCTCTGCTCTTTTTCAAACTGAAATTAGGAAATTTAAAGCTTCATTGAATAAATAATAGGCTAAGTCATTAAAATTATTCTCTATTTTAAGATTTATTCACTGAAGAGAATCAGAGGCACGTGCTAGAAAGGGAGTAACAGAGGCAACTAAACCCAAGTGGAAGAGTTTGCCAAGTGACTTCTCTGCGCAAATATTTTTTGTCACCCTGATGTCTATTTTTCTTCCTCCCCCACAAACCTTGCTGAAGTTAATTCCCCTCCCTCTCATTTGCCCACAGCGCACATACTTAAAACCCACTATGGCCAGGCACAGCGTCCTTATCTGATAATACTATTTTTTAAAATAGGAATGGAAAGACACTTAACATGATAAAAGAATCTCTCAAACCAATAACCAACATCATTCTTAACTTTGAAACCTCAGAAGCGTCATGAAAGCCAGGGCAAGAGAACAGTGCCTCGGTCACCACTGTCATTTAGCATTTTTCTAACAGCTGGAGCTAATACATTAAGAAGTAAAAAAGTCATTTGGTATAAGTATTGCAAATGGGGAGCCAAAGGCTTCTTTTCTTTTTGTAGATAATATTTATCTCCCCAGAATGCCCAAGAGAATCAACTGAGCATGACTATAAGTAATAAATGCATATTTGTATTTATTTTTTTATTGAAGTATAACAGTGTACACAGCTAGATGAATTTTCAGAAAGTGAACACATCCTATGTAATCAACATCCAGATCAAGCAACAAAACAATTGTGGCACCCTGGAAAGCCCCCTTGAGCCCTTAATTATCTAGGGCTGCTGCAACAGAAATACCACAAGTAGACAGCTTTAACAAACAGAAATTTATTCTCTCACATCTTCGGAGGCTAGAAGTCTGAATTCAGGGCCCCTGCTGTAGAGGAAGGTTTTCTCTCTCAGTCAGCTGTGAGGGAAGGTCCTTGTCCTCAGTCTGTCCCTGGTCTAGGAGCTTGTTAGTGCAGGGACCCTCGGTCCAAAGGACATGCTCTGCTCCCAGCTCATCTTTCTTGGTGGTAGGAGGTCCCCTCCTTTGTGCTCCCTTCTCTCTTTTATATAATAAAAGAGATTGACTCAAAATACAACCTAATCATGTAAATTGAGTCCTGCCTCATTAACATAACTGCCTCTAATCCTGCCTCATTAACATCATAGAGGTTAGGATTTACAATACATAGGATAATCACATCAGATCACAAAATTGTGGACAAACCACACAATACTGGGAATCATGGCCCAGCCAAGTTGACACATATTTGGGAGGAGGGGGAACATAATTCAATCCGTGACAAGCCCCCTTCCAATCGCTACCAGTAATCTTCAGATAGGACTGTAGATTATTTCGATTTTTTTCTTCATGCATTCCTATATTTTCTAAAATTCCCACAATGGTGTAATCAGAAAACTGATCATTATGTATATGTATGTAAGTGTGTATATGTGTGTATAAACATGTAATACACAAGTATATAATTTTTTAAAAGGAGTTTTGTTCTAGGCTAGAATTTCCTTATATCCATTAAGCATGGTTACTGGGTCATTAACTAATTTTTAAAGGGATCTTAAAATGTAACCCCAACTTCCACATCCGCAGTAAAATAGTCTGTTGCTGACTTGAAAACAATTTAAAGGGTATAAATGGCTAGGATATAATCTGCCTCAGTGAGAATTTCAAAGGCTTAATGTACTTTGACTTCCCAAATTGGCCAAGAGATTGTTTGGTGCTATTGGTAATATTGGTGTAAATAAGAATATTTATCATTATGGTCCCATAGTTGACCCCTCCATCTCTCCCTGTTTCCCTTTTGATGTCTGTTGCTTATTCTCCACACTTTCTCTTCTTTACTCCTCTAGATTGTGAACCTTATAGAAGAAACTGGACACTTTCATATCACAAACACAACATTTGATTTTGACCTTTGCTCACTGGACAAAACCACAGTCCGTAAACTACAGAGTTACCTGGAAACATCTGGAACATCCTGAGGATACAACTGGATGCATCAAAAACTATTGGGATTTTTTTTTTTTTTTTTTTTTTTTGGTTGTGAGTTTTTTTGTTTGTTCGTTTGTTTATATGAAAACACTCAGAATGATGCAACCAAAAGGGAAAAAATAAAAATCAAACAACCTTCAGCTTTATTTTTCTTTAAAGCCAGTCATCATCTCTTGATAAAGGAGAGGTTAGGCAAACCAGCCTCAGCGGACCACTCTTCTCTCCAAGGAAATCCCCGGGAAGAGTTAGCCTGGATAGCCTTGAAAACAAACCAATCAAACACAAAACAAGAAAACTTAAAGAATGTGTATGGTATCATGTCTCTCTCTGTGGTGGTTCGTTCCACAAGATGAATGCATATTCAACACACTGCCTTATTACATAACTGATCTATTTATTATCATATACAGATATTCTAAAGTTGTTGAGGCAATGACACCACCAGATGTTGTAAGTGCTTGGTCCCGTGGATGCTCTTTCAATGCAACGCCCTTGCCATCCCAAGCCCAGTGACCTTACTCGTATTCTGTGCCACTTTCCACCAACTTTTCAAGTCCTTTAACTTGTTGCAGTCTGTATTTTCCAACTTTGTTTTTTCTAGTTCCAGGACACAAATTATAAACTGGAGGGGAGGGAGGGGACCAAATAGCCACCCTGATTTTCTTCTTTGTGGTCTTTTTCCTGAAAGTTGGGGCCAGTCCTTGGCTGTATCCATGTAATGATCTTGGACCATGGTAGAAAATGCACCAAATAGGATCATATGAATTGCTGTCTAGCCTTAGTCAATAAACCTGTAGGGCTTTTAAACAAAAGTGTACCTGTAAGCGTCCTGAATCCAGCATCCTTGAGCTATCATCATTCTTGTGTCTTTTACTGTTACAATATTAGATAAATATGGAAGTAAAGGCATTCCACAGGATCATCATTTAAAAAAAGAAATACTGGTCCTGTTTTCTAAAGAAATGTAGAAATTCTTAATTTGGATCTATTTATTAGAGTTTCAGCTTTCTTCAGCTGCCAGTGTGTTATTCATCTTTACCATAAAACCTGGAATAAGAGATTTTTATTTGTTTGAATGTGATCCTCTTAGACTCTTTTATATTTGAAAAATTAAAATCTTTCTTTGGGGGAAAATTCTTGGTTATTCTACCATAACAGATTATGTATTAACTTGTAGAGTCAGTGGTTTGATACCTGTTTAGTCACTTGCTTATGTTTCCAGAAGGATTTCTTGTATTGATGAAAATAAAGATGGTTGGGGGGGGAGCGTATTTTTGTTCTTGATGTACCCTTGTTTTGAAACTAGAAATCTGTCCTGTGGCATGCAAAAGAAAGCAAATTATTTTTAAAAAGAAAGAAAGAAAAAAGTACTTTTCCTGTCATTATTCCATACTCTCCATAAATGGAGAAATGTAAAGTGAGAACAGCTCATCTTGTAAGTTTTTACTAGGAACTCAACCAAAAACAAAAGAAATGAAGACCTACTTCTGGATCCAAAGGTTCGTTCACTGGATCAGCCTTTTGAAAGTCTCTATGTGTGCTAATAGACCAGTATCTCCCTTCCTTATCCCTGCGCCAGATGCTGTCTTTTCATCCAGAGATTAACTAGTGTCTGTACAGAAAATGATCTTTCCAGACCCGTTCTTTTGGGCAGTAATGTAAATGCAAACTGATAATGGAGTTAACTCTGCATTTTAAAAAGGGGTTTTTACAGTTTCTTTCTATCCAAAGAAACTTATTTTTTCCTTTAAAAATTATAATACAGCCATGCTCCTTATAAATTTCTTCTCTGAAGTGTCCCAGAGGACAAGTGTATTTTTTTTTCCAACAATGTTCTGACTCTTGATGGTGATCGGCATGAACCGTACTTGAAGTATTAGTTTGTAGTCCATTTCTCAATGTGTAATTTCAGAGAAACTTTGAGTCATTTTGGACATGAGGTGACTGCTAAATTGTGTGGCTTTAGTTGTGCTTTGTTTTAAATTTTACAGGTGGGAGGGGAGAGCAATGTTTATATGGAAGTGTTCGCAAAATTGAACAGCAGTCTTTAAAAATTTCTAGCTACTAATCCACATATTCTAATTAAACCAGAAAGTTACTTGGTTTAACCAAAATATCTATGTAATTTAACTAGAAATGTGTATATGTAGTTTGGGCCATTTTTATTTTTGTAACTAAATTATGTAGCAAAATCTATGCTTTGGCAATATAAAGGTTTTTTGTTTTGTTTTTTTTTCCCCCAACTTGCTAACCAAGAAATTATATAACGTAAGAAATGACCAAACAAAAAAGATAACAAGAAAGGCAGCTATTACAGTGATGAAATTTAGATAATAAAGCAGATGTCTTGAGAATATCAAAATATAAGTTTGTAAATTTTATACCAAAATTGGGGAAAATTTACTAGTCTACTACTATTCCTTGAGACAGCAAAATGACTTTTCCATGAGATTCTGATAGAGTAAGGGTCACACTGTTGATATTTTGAAGTTTTACTCTTCCTCTCGTTATCTAATTTTTAAATGAAGAAATAAATCCATTTTCAATTGATTTCATATAGTTACACTTCTCTTAAAGTAACTCATTCAGTTCTGCCACGTTTCTATATGCTCACCTTTGAAATCTGCTAAAATATATTTTTAGTACATGTATCCTAACCGTGGCATTGGTGTTTTAAGCACTAGGGGAAAATGGCAGGGCTTAATTTCTTTGGTGTGTGTACATACATATATATATATATGTTTCAAAGAAAATTGAGTGAATGTGAATATGGTTTGAATCAGCCAGAGTATAGTAAATTTTCCTTAAATCTTTCCATAGTGATTTGCAGAGAAAAAAAAAGATTGTACAAAGCTTTTTCTCCTTATAAACTAGCTTTTGCCTCTGGATTTGCATAAGGATGTGTATGAGGGGGATCCTTTTATCTTAGGGTATAGCAGTCATGTTAGCAACAAAAATGTTCGCAGTTATTTCATATCTTCATTACAATCCATGTCTCTATATGTCTTCATGTAGACAGATAGGTACATCTATATGTGCTTGCATATTGTGTTGACATAAGGAAGAACATAAAAACTTAAGATCAGGAGACAACTCTAGGGGAAAAAATCTCTTAAGAGAGGATCTTAAAACATTTTTAAATCAGTAAATTTTTAAATCGGTAAGCAAATCTCTCTAACCTGAGTACCCACCTTTATGTGGAAAGAGCCAATAAAATTGGTGGTATTCCACTAAAAAAAAAAAGAGTTCTGTTGACACAGACCCACCTAATCTTTACAAAAGACTGTTTAAGCCTACATAACATCCGACACACTATTGAGAGCCCCTCACGTGTAGTTAACATACTTGTTTAAGAGAGACTTTACTCTTAAATGTTTTAACTCTACCTACTTAATGGAGTTGGATGTTCAGTGTTAGAAATGGTCAATGTTTGTGTTTGGTGGCTTGTGTTCATTTTTCGTACTATAGAAGTGATCATCTCTGGGGTAATTTGCTGTATACTTAACCACTTTCCACCGTTAGCGTTGTGTACTAATGCCATGCACTGCTCCTATATATATATGTGTATATATATGTATATATACACATATATATACATATATATTATCAGAATAATATTGCTTTGGACTGTCACTATAGAACTATGACTGTGATGTAGAGACTGCCACGGCTGCAGCCAATGTTAAGGAGGCAATTCCCTTGATTTAGTTTAGTCTTGGCCTGCAGTCTACATCTTTTGACCTCTTCTGTTTTATATGATGTTTTTAATTATGTAGGCACTGCCATCCTTGAAAATTCCTTGTACAGATACATTGAAGAAGTCAATTTAAAAGGAAGACAAAGCAACCGCTGTCTGTAAACTGTAAATATGTATTTTGGCACTTGTACTCCAGTATTCTGAAAATAGAGTTCTGATGGAAATGCTGACAGATCCTTAATGGTGGCCGGAGCTACCATGCAGTGCAAAAATAAATGAAGTAAAAATGTATTCTTGAGATTAACAGCTCAAAACCAATACGTTTTATAAATCTGTCAGTATCTTTTTAATGGAGTGTGTATGTGTAGCTATGGTGAAAGATATGCTGTGTATGTGTGTACGTACATGCTTTTATGTAAACTATGAAGCAGACGTAAGATGTATTTCCCATTTCTAAAACCCATGTTGAAATGTAAGTAGAGATTGACAGAAATAGGTGTTTGACTTAAATTGATATCTAACCGATCATGGCTCTATTTTCTTTATAATGTATAGACTTACTGATTTAAGAGTAATTACATCACAGTTTGGCTTTGCTTTGCATAGGAGGAAAAATGAGCCCTTGTTTTTCTCAAGAAGTGATGCTGGTCCTAAGGAAGAATGAATGGAGAGATCAGAGGCATCCAGAGAAGGAACAATATTCCCTAAGCCAGCTGAGGAGAGAGTCCATGCCTCATTCATCTCTAGCACCATTTTCTAGGTCCTAAAACTGGCACTTTTTTTTTTTTTAGGATTTGCAGAGATTGGGCAAGAGATGGTGGGACACAGTCTTGGCATAAACATGATTAATTATAAAAAAGTCTTTTTTCTTTTTCCCTCTATTCCTTTGAAAAGTTTTGTTCATGAGCTAAACAGTGTGCTATTGGTAGACAGACTCAGTCCTACAAAGGCCTTGCATCTACTCCACTTTAGCAACAAGAAATGCTACCTTGACTAAATAGAAAGGAAAAAAAAAAACTACTACAACACAGAGAATAAAATACATTTGGTTTGGCAAATAACTAAGGAATAGGATATAATAGCCTCCTTAATAGTGAAGGGACTTTTACATCAAATTTGAGAAACGCCTTATCTTCAGACTGACTGACCATTTAGAGGATCATGGTGGATTGCCTTGTATCTTATCAGCCAGAAGCTGATACTAAGTGTGGAAGCATCAGCCCGAGATGGGTTTGGGTGGCAGTTAAGCTTTCTAATGGCCACACTTGAATTGGGCTAATCTCTTCCCTTGTTTCAGCCCAAATATTGATTGGTTTATTTTAAAATAATGGCCTTGCATTTTCTCCAGTATGGAGAGAGGGTCAGGATTAGCATCTTGGGCCTGCTAAAGACAGCTCAGGATGTTGTCCCAGAGAGATGCACTCACACAAGAAGTGACTGCTCTACATCGCTTTCCTCAACATGTTTGCTCCACCACCTGTGAGAATTGTGCCCCCCAAGGGTGGATTAACCGGTAATCAAGGTATGCACGGGCTTGTGTTTACTTACTAATCTGTAGGGCACAATTTCATCTGTTTTGCTGGTGAAATTGTGCCCTACAGATTAGTAAGTAAACACAGGTAAACCCATGCATACTTTGCTTATTGAGTAATCCACCCCTGGCCCACTTGGATATGCAAGGCGATCTGGGAAGGTATGGCAGCTCCACCAAGCCCTGTGCACGGCTTTTCCTCTGCTGTTGTTAATTCAGGTAGATAGTGTCCAAAACTAGTGCTCTTGTTTTTTCTGACAAGTGGAGCAACTTAGAGTATTTTATTGTTTCCTTGCCCGAGATACCACCCAAATAGAAAATACTGAGCACATTTCAATGCTTGTGCTTTCTATGCCAGGTAATAGGATCCACACCTTCCTGTTTATGTACTCCCCTTCTTTAGAGGCATTTCCAGTCTTTTCCAGAGGCTGTTAAATTTTCCCGGGCTGTCAGCTTAGCCTCTTGGTCTTAATTTCCGCTTAATTAAAGAAGGGTAACCAATATGGTCCCCAAGGGCTAATGAAAGAAAGAAATGGCACAAATTAAAAAAAAAAAAAAAAAACCCTCCAGTAATTATAATTGGGCTTTATGGCTGTAAAATAACAAAGAACAACAACAAATTCCTACGCTGACGCTGAGTGGATGGCTCCTTGAATCCACTTTTACAATAACTCGGTTGATTATTGGGGGTACCCGCAATCTGCACAGAATAGGAGGCCACGAGGAGTGGGGAGATAGATGGTGAATAAAAGAAAAGCTATTTGCTCATTTTCTCCTCATAATCATGTCTTCCCTTACATGTAGCCCCCATCACAGAGTTTTGAAGTTTCAAAAGGCTAGAAAGGGATAAATCCAGGCCATTAAAAGAAAATAATCAAAGCTATTGAAAAGATAAAACAAGTGAGTCGCTCTAAAAGGGCCGTCTGTGCAAGTAATAAGGTTGAAATGCTGATACTGATTTCCTAGCCGAACAGCATTCCTCACACATGTGGTTTGTGTATCCACGCCTGGGTGGGTGGTCTGGTAGAAGTGCTAAATGCAGCAAGATTGCTTAGTGTTTGAGCAGTGGAAGGAAGCTTTGGGACCAGCTCAGCTGGTGGCATCTATAGCCCCTGCAACAAAAAGAGGCTTTCCTCTTGCTTTTGTTCCAGGGGAGAAAGTTTTAAAATGGCTCATTCATTTAAATATGAGTCTCTGTTCTGCACAGAATTAAGCAAAGAGTAGGAGTTTTTTGTTGTTGTTGTTTTCTTTAAAGCACCTCCTCATCCCTTGCTTTAGCGCCAGGGAGTGACGTGTGACAGAATATAGTAACTCTCCACTTAGTTTAATTTATTCCCTGAGTACTAGGCAACTAGAAAGATCTCTTTGGAAATTGACGCTGTTTTAAATAACACCTCAGCCTAGATAGGACAGGAAATAGTATTAAATGAAAGGTGTATATTATGAATATAGTCCACAAGCAAAAGCCAAAGGAAAACGAACCCCAAGGGCACATGTATACTAATGAGAGTGTCGAATGAGGTACACTCAGTTCCGGGGACTTGTTATAGGGACCTTCTACCTGAGAGGAAAACCACTCAGGAACATGGTGCTGAACTATGGTGTGAATCATCGCCAACTCATAGCTCAAGACAGGTTGCTTCATGAATAGTCCTCGGAATTGTTGGATGTTGTGGTTTTTATTTCAACCTTCCGTCACTTGGAAGATACATATATATTTTAATTAGAATATTTATTTGTAGGTTTACTGTCTGTCTCTCCCACTAGAATGTAAGCTCCTTGGGAACAAGGACTTTGTCTGGCTTACCACCGACTCCCCAGGATCTATAGAACAATTCCTGGAGATACTTGGCACTCGTATTGACTAAATGAAAATGTGAGAACACTTTGTGTAATACTGATCTCTTTTGACATTTCCTGAAAATAAGGTTTTGTATTTAAGTAAGTTTGGGAGACTGCCCAGTTGATGCCCCCCTTGTAAATTCATGACACACTGATTAAAGTCTCTGGGAAGCCATATGTTCTAACAACAGCAACCAAAACTTGTTTAACATTTTTAACACGGTATTTCCCAAATCATATTTAATGAAATACTGTGAAACCTGTGAGAGCCGGAACTTGACAAGACTGCCTTGTTTTTCTGGGTCTGGCATGTTTTCTGCCTTTGACAGGGTGCAGTCTTGGACCGCTTTTCTATCACTCATTTTAGTGGAAAATATTTCCTTCTCTGACAAGTTTCCACCTTACACAGATTCCAGGTTTCTTGGGTTTTACTGTAGTTACACAAGATGATAATAGATGTTTTTCCTTTAAGAAAAAGTTTCTTAATCCAATTGTTTTTTATATCTCATTCTCCAAGTTTTACAGCATAATTTGGGATGGTGGTTCAGAGAAGGACAACAGAATATTAATATCCCCAGAAGTGCTTTACTGGGTTGGATGACCATATACAGTAATTTATTGACCGAATGGAAATGTTTTTGAGAGTGAAATGGAGCACTATTAATAATACCCAGGACAACACGAGTAAACATGGGAAATTCTGGGAAAAGTGGGACTTGTGGTCACCCTAGTTCCAAGGAACATACTTTGGGAAATGCTGAACTGAAAACATACCCTCATATTTCTCTGTCACTTAGACATGTGTTTGATTGGGCAGTCTTTCTATGATAACAGTTGAGCATCTCCCTACAGTACGGATAGCCCTTAGGATCTAGGGTTTAAAAAGCACTCTCAGTGTTACTGAAGAGTCTTTTTTGCTGAAGTGGTCCCTGTGCCACCCCTCACTTCCCCCAACTCTTCCTATGTTAGCCTATTGTTTGATTTTGGTGCATAGGCCAGTGTTTATGATCGTCCCTTTCTAACAATATATGTAAGGAAGACCCATTCTTAGTTCAGGTCCCTGGCCCTGTTTCCAGAGCTTGTTGGACTTTGAAGTTGTGATGCTTTTGCTCACAGGACACCTGACACCTTTGCTGGAGATGCTATCTCTTCACTGTCACCTGCTGGGTCACTCTGCCTGCTGCTGCTGCATCCTGGTGGTCTGCGTCCCCACAAACTGGTAGAGTTGCCAGGTTGGCAGATTCTCTCACTGTTAGAGCCTGTTCTGGAATTTTCCTTTTCTCCATTCTGTCCCACGTCCTGCCACCTGATATCCTTTGATATTTTAGTGGTTCCAAGTTGCATAGGCACAATTGCTAGCGTACAAAAACACTCCAAAATGAACAAATTAATGAATGGTCGTAAATAAATCTCATCCTTGTCCTTCAAGGAGGTTGCTACATTGATACCATCCTCTGCTGCCTTTTCCCCCCAAATTAAGTCCTTTATTCTGCTACTGTTTTGAAGGTATTATAGTGTGACAAAAATTACAAACATTGGAGTCAGAAAGACTTGGTTTTGAATCTCAGATCTGCCACTCCTAACCATGTAACCCTAGACAACTACTTTTCTGAAACTTGGTTTTGTTATCTGTAAGATAGGATTAACATTTTACCTCTGGTTTACAATTGTTGTGAAGATCAAATGAGATGTTTGTAGAGCACTTAGCACTGTGCCTGGTCCATTGTAAAGTGCCCAGTAAATGGTAGCTATTTCTATTTTTAAGGAGCCCTGGTGACACAGTGGTTAAGTGCTAGGCTGCTAACTGAAAGTGGCAGTTCGAACCCACCAGCCACTCTGTGGGAGAAAAGACCTGGCAATCTGCTGCTATAAAGATTACAGCCTAGAAAATCCTATGGAGCAGTTCTACTCTGTTCTACAGGGTCACTATGAGTTGGAATTGACTCAAATGCACGCAATAAAATTTGTTATTATGCTATTGGAATCTATTCTTTTTTGTTGGTGGAGAACTTTGGTGCTGTTTGCCGTTCAGTCTCAGTTGTCATTAGCCTAATTGACAGCTGGTGGTGATGTGCCAACTACATTCACAGCCCATGGTCTTTGGGTGTCCTCACATGCACGTCTTAGAGGGCAATCACCACCTCTGTAACTGACTTCTGCTCCCCTGAAGCTGCTGGAAAGAAAGGGAACCAGAAGTACACCACCTTAGCTTTGAGGGCTTTTTCTGGCCTCAGAGTTAGGTCACATAAAACAGATAGAAGTGAACACATTTCCCCTTGATGAGCTCAGTTGCTAGAGGTAATGCTGGAGAAACTGGGGTCATAGGTTCAAGCCCATTGTGAGCCTATTGATTGGCCCCTTTGCCTGGTTAAAACTTTCTAATCCAACACAACCGTGTCACAACCCTGGCTTACCACTTTGGTGAGAGATGATTGGGTTGATGTTAGCCCCTCAATGATGATCATTTATTTCACTCTGGAATAAGCTCAGGTTATGACCTTGGTTAGCCAGACGTTATGCTAATTTACCACATGCAAGACATTAGAATGATACCATGTATCGTTTGTTTTTAAGGCAGGCATGTATGACATGTAGAAATGGCCGTAGTTATACTACAGTCTCGTGATTTGATTTATAACAAGCTTCCCAGTAACTCATGTTTCAACATTATACTCTTAAAAGCCACACCACAGTTTTGATGGGATATGGTTGACTACAGCACTGTGTAGAATAACCTAGTCCCTGGCTACGATGAAATGCACCGAAATGCTACTTTAGTCATGATTATTCTCTTTTTTTTTTCCCCCTTAAAAGTTGTGTGATGTATTAGTTTCCTATTGCTGCTGTAACAAATTACCACAAACTCAGTGACTTGAAACAACACAAAGTTATTATAGTTCTGGAGGTCAGAGTCCAAAATGAGTTCAACTGAGCTAAAATCAAGGTGTCAGCAGGGCTGCCTTCCTTCTGGAGGCTCTAGGGTGGAATCCACTCCCTTGCTTTTCCAGATTCTAGAGGCATCCTGTATTCCGTGGCTCATGGCCCCTTCCTCCATCTTCAAAGCCAGCAGAGTAGCATCTTCCAATATTTCTCTGACTCTGACCATTTTCCTCCCTCTTCTATCTTTGAAGAACCGTTGTAATTACATTGGGATCCCCTAGATAGGCCTGGTGGTGCAGTGGTTAAAGGCGATGACTGCTAACCAAAAGGTCGGCGGTTTGAATCCACCAACCATTTCTTGGAAACCCTATGGGCCAGTTTTACTCTATCTTATAGGGTCCGTATAAGTTGGAATCGACTTGAAGGCAACAGGTTTGGTTTTTGTTTTAGATTTCTCCCCAACTCAAGATCTTTTACTTGATTACATCTGTAAAGTCCACTTTGCCATGTAAGGTTACATAGGCACAGGTTCTGGGGATTAGCATGTGGACATCTTTGGAGGATCATTATTCTGCCTACCATAGATGGGGAGATGCTAATGTTGAAAACCCTACCTATCTGGACGTTTAAGTAAAATCTGCTTAAATAAGCAGGTTTTATGTGCCCCACATTAAAAATTAAAGCCATTTTGCTAGTAGTTCCAATTGCTCCTGGTGTCATACTTCATGATGATGACTGTGATGGTGATTTCTTCAGAAGCTGGAGAAAAATCCACAGTGTGACATCTGAAAACATTATTTCAGGTTTTA